AGAAGAGTGCCGTCATGGTATGCAACGAGAACAAGGAGGAACCAGTAGAACATAGATGGAAGTGGGGGATCGAGGAGATTGCAGTAGTGGACCAGTACACATACCTCAGAGTAGAGATCGCAAAAGACTGCTCGTGGAATGCGCACGTGTCCAAGGTAGCGGAAAAGGGCAAAGCACGAGCAGGGAAGCTGCATCCAATACTCGCAAACCGGCACCTCGATACACGCATCAAATTGACGGTTTTGAAGAGCGTAATCGTACCGCCGCTAGAGTACGCCGGAGAAGTATGGGAAGGAAATAAGAAGGTAGTGAAAGAACTCGAGGCGGCGCAGATGAAAGCAGCGAAAACCATCCTAGGATGCTCCAGGCGCACAAGTAATGCAGCCGTGAGGGCAGAATTGGGGATCCAATCCCTACGGTCGGGAAGAGACGCGAGGAAGCTGACCTGGCAGTATCGCATGTGCGGGATGGGAGAGGAGAGGTTGCCGAGAATTGTATGGGAGGCGAAGTGGGCAAACAAAAAGAGGGGTAGACAACCCACGGAATGGGTCAAGGTTGTAGAGGACGTATGGAAGGGGCTCGACATCGACGAAGATGAAACGCTGGAAACGGAGGGTCTACAGGGGTTCAAGGAGAAGATATCTGTTGCTTGTGCCGAGAGAGAAGAACAGAATCTAAGTAAATAACCCAGGGATAAGGAGGGTCTAGGAGTGTACGGAATGTTGAAGGAAGGAATAGGGTTCAAGGACTACCTACATGGACCAATGGATGCAGGAACAAAGCTTAAGGTCAAATTCAGGACCGGGGACATAGGCCTTCGAGAACGTCGACGAAGACATAGGACGGTAGACGAGGAATACAACGAGTTCAAATGTGATTGCGGCTTCGTATGCGAACACCGTGTTCATGTAGTCGCGGAATGTCCGTTGTACAAGAAGGAGAGGGAAGTGTACGTGACTGAGCTGGGAAAAATAGATGGAACGTACAGGGAGATGTTTGAGGCATGGAATAGAGAGGAAAGGACGGTAGCTGTAGTGGGGCATAGGAGGTGGGTTGAAAAGGCGGGAAGGGATATCGTTAGGATAGACAGACTAGGGAAGACATTTTTGAGCCACCTTTGGCAAAGTAGAAAGGAACGATTGGCCATCGGTGATCGGTCCTGTGGGAACAATGCTCCGTCCTCTCGAGGACGCGTGGTCAATGGACTAACCGTTAAGGCATGCAAAACATAAGAGTATGACCCCCCCCTCCCTGCTCGAGAGGGCGCCATCACGACGCGGCCGGCGGCGCCGGCGGCGCTACGCGCGCGGGCGGCCTCGCGGTCCCCGGGGCCG